TGAGCTTATCATCAATGGGAAGTCCGAACCCCTCTCTTCTCTCTACACCATCCACAACTGCACAGTTTTCGATTCCTTCAGCTTCTTCTACTCCATCTTCGCGTATTTCTTTGCCTTTCAGGGATCCTTTTTCTCCAATTTCTCTTCCACAAGCAGAACGTATGCCACAAAGAATGCAAATCACTGCATCTTCAGCAGAGAACGACTCCATATATCTCTGCAGCGAAGAATCTCTACAAACTCTGTTTTCTTTTTTCTGTAATACGCTATCGACATCATGTTGTTATTGTGGAAAACCCCTCGATTGTGAATCACTTGTCTTCAATCGATAGAGTCATGTCGTGTCAGTGACAATTTCATGCGTTGGTGGAGATTCTTTCAAGTGGCTCTCCTCCCCCATCATGGGAGGATCTCCTCCAAAGTACTATGTAAATTTGAGGTGAGCACTCTTTCATTTTTTGCTCGAAATTTACAGAAATTTATTATCTCAGTATTTTAGAGTTTTTGTTTTTTGTAACTGGTCACTTATCTGTCTCTCTTTTTCATAGATTGATTCATGGAGTATTGTCCTGTGGCTTGACAGACACAATACACAAGTTTCTGTCAAGCAGCCAACATCGGGTCAGAGGGAGAAAAGACCTTCGACACAGGTTAGCAATGCACATTCTCAGATGCTCTGAAAATCATGTAGTCTTTCTCCTTGCAAGGAGAAGGCAGTCAACAGCAGTTTGCAGGTTGTTAAATCATGAATGTTCTATCAAGATAGCTCAAACTGACTGAACTGTTCCTTCTTTGGTTTCTGCCCTACCAGATGCATTCTAAAATACTTCTATTTTTAATCACTTCAACAGTCTTGAAAAAGCTTGGTTACTTGACAATCGTGAAGAGGGTTTCCAATGAGTCGATGTTGGCTGCTCAAGAACAAGTGAAGAGTAACCCTGCATATGCTGTGAATGGAGAGGTACAAGTAATCATTTTAACTTCATTTTGTCTTTGGCCACATACTTATACACCTGCCATACTCGGAGTATATTATGAAGACTGGCACGTACAAAGATATAAAATCTTATATCAGATTGTAAACCTTGAAAATATCTGTGAGTAGAGAAATGTGACCATTTTTATGTTTTGATTTCTACCATTTTCCTGCAGTGTGTTATAACAGATGCAAGGCATGATTCCAGTCAATCAGCAGCACACACAACAGTGTCAGCCCTTTCTTTCTCGTAAGATGCTTTCTACTTGTATGATATGTTGAACCTCTATTATGTTCAACACCATTCCTAAAATCATTTCATTTGCACTGATTATCTTTAGGACCAAAAAGGTGTTAGCAGTTGTCAACTGGAGTAAGGCCAATGAAACTTCAGCAGTAAGCCGTGAGGTCCCTATGACAAAAGAGCTGTTGACTTATCTCTGTGAGACACAAGGTATGATAAGTTTGCATCCTCAATAATATCATATCACATATGTAGTACAAATATGGAGATCAGAAGTATATTTTATAATGCAACTAAAGTAATTCTTTTTTCAGGGTTCCATATTGCAGAGGTGGCACATGACTTTGTTTTACAGCTAAAAACATGGATCTTGTCAAAAGGAATGCTTAATTCCTTTGACTCTTGGCATGGTACTCAGTATACACTTGTATTTTTTGGCTCATTTTGTCTTGATGATTATCACTATTTCTTGAAAATTAGCCTTTTATTGGTATTAAAATTTTTTGTTTATTTTCAGGTGCAAAGTCTGTGACTAAAGCAATGAAGAAAGTTGCCTCAGGACCACAGAGGGATGAGGGCTCAAAGTGGTTTTTTGAATTGTCCGACAAAGGTAAGATATCTCTCTTATGAGAGTCATCGGAAGCTATATTCTCTCTACAATTATCTGCAGATGTCAAATTCCTTCTTGATACAAGATGAATACAATGGAATATAATAATTGTGAATATTTTACAGTGAAAAGTACAAGGACTCATGTGTACTTCTGCATGAAGAACAGTCCACCCACTGAAGAAGAATTTCAGGGTACACTGTTGAATGTAGTTGACCATTACCAGGTAATTTGAATGACTGTTTATTGAGAGAACATAGTATTTTGTTTTCATTTTTGTAAGTACCTTTTGTTGTGTTATTCTAGCAAGATATGACATGATCATTACCTCAAAGATTGCACATATTTCTTTAATAATGGTGAACAAGAGACATTATATTTACTATAATTATTACTACTGATTTATTAATCTATTTTTCCATAACTTGGTGTATTTATTACTCAGGGTCATCATGTCAGATGCCATGCACCTCATAATGCTGCATTTGTTCCTGAGACCAGATCCCTACCAAAGCCCCTAACAGAGCTATTCAATGATAAGAATTTGGAGAATGACTTTCAGGATTTGCTCCAAAAGTCAAAAAAGACATCTGATGAGCTAGCACTAAGTGCAGAAGAAGCAGAAAACATAAAAGAATTGATGAGAGGCCAGTCCAACAGTAAAGTCTAGTTTGAGCAGAGGGCAGGACAAGTGACTGATTCAAAGTTTAAAGATGCTTGCTTGATGAATCCAGAGAAACCATCAAAGAGCCTCATGAAGACAACATGCTATCCTAGTTCCTGATCTTGTTGTCTGGACTGAAAAGGACTTGTTTATTCAGAGAGTGTTACCCGATACGGAATTTTGGAACAGGGTACTTCCCAAAGGTAATACTTTTATACAAGAAGGGAGTACTCCCAGAACTGTTAGGGAGATGGTTTACATGTTCGAGTGCTCTACCACAACCCACAACATCACCAGTACCAGACAGTGATGAGGATGGTACCTGGTACTATTGCAAGCAGTTTTTTGAAGAAAGTTAGCTAATTGGTTGTGACAAAACTGACTGCGAAATCCAGTGGTTTCAGATGTCATGTGTGGGACTTAGAATAGAGCCTGAGGGAGAATAGATTTGCCCTTCATGCACACCATGAAATTGATATCCAAAGTTGTTCAGTTCTTGCATTTATTTGTTATGATACCTGTTGATTACAACAGGAACCTTTTTTAAGCTACATATACAAAAAAATTTTAACTCTACATTAGCCACTTTTGGCATTTTTATTGTTGGTTGAAGGTATTATTAGCATCAGGAATCACCATAATTATCAATAACTACACAGGTTTAATTAAATTCTATTGATTGTAATGTATGGATTAGGCCTAAAAGTTATCTTTCTTAACTTTGAAACTCCTTGCAGAGGAAATTGTTTCTGAATGAAACATCATATTTTCCCCATGATACCTGACGAAATATTGATACACCCAGAAAGGGTCTAAATACTCTAATTAGAAGGCACAACAGACTCTGATAAATTAGTTAGGGCAGAACAAATTATTGCAATTTTGGCTATTGGAGCCACGTCATCACCTTGCTCAGCTGTCACCAGCTGAATAGGAAGTATTCCTTGCAATGTAGTGTACTTTCTTCAGACAAGACCAATCACCCTTTCCACATGGATTCGTACATTGGCAATTTTCCTAGTTTCCTCCACTTCCACTGCAGACAACTGTTAATTACCTCTAGTAAATGCTGGTATATGAAGGCGAGCTTGATAAAAACTAACAGCGTCAGCAATATCAAAGCCCCTGTCAGCAAGCATTGATCAGCATTGATGGGACATCACCCTGAAGTGCCATCATCAATGGGACATAGATGCATCATATCTCAACTGTGTAATTTTATTTAGTGATAGCTGTATAAATATTCCAACATAGGCCTGTAGGTGGCACGAATGATAGGCAAAAACAGGGTTGCTGTTGGGTCTTACCAACATACTTGTCTTACTAAATACAATACTGTCTACAATTTGAATTAATTGAAATGAAAGGGATATTATTCCATATAAGTTTGCATTCTAGCCCAATGACAAGAAAAAGACAAGATGTAGTGTCAACAATATTTTTAGTTGACACACAACACCCTCCCTCAAAAAAACTTGAAACAAGTGAGCAAGTGTGCGATTTTAGGACTGCATGTGGGTCATGACAAAGTACACTTACAAGGAGTTTCAGTCTCAACAAACTCACTGCTTTGTATAACCTCTTCCATACCACTGTCTTGGGTACTACTAGAGGAAGCTGCTTTAGGACGATTTATGATGCTTAGATAGAGTGGACCTGTGTTCTTCATTCCTTCAGGTTGCTTGGACAACCAAAGCTTGAAGAGCTGCACTGGATCGCTTTTTCTGCCATCGGTGCTGAACATTGCTTGTGGTGTTGTTCTTTGCTTGATGGTGAGACCAACATTCTGTGTTTTACTGGGACCTTCCCAGAACTCAACAACTTCAGTTCCATCTTCGCCCTGTCTTATAATTACGTCTTCCACCTATTCATCGCAGTGTTCTTGGCGACCACGAAATCCCAGTTGTTCAGTCAAATTTTTGGAGTTGACATTGGTAACACTTGTGGTGGCTTTTGATTTTCTTCACTTGTTGCTGACTTGGTGGACTTGGGATTGCGTGGATTGTAAGGTTGAGAAGGTAGAAAATTGTCAAAATATTCACCAAAATGTACACGAAAAGTGGGAAAGTCCCTGGAATGTTGGTCTTCAGCCTGAAGGGTCTCATTGTCATCATTTGAAAAACTGGAAGAAATTAAATTCATCCACTTTTGGGGGAGGGGGGGAAATAAGAGTTTTGGAAACAAAAGTTGCAAAATTTGCCGCATGATACTCTTTGTCTTTCATTTTCCTGCAATTTGATCGGTTACTTTAAACAAGCCTTGAAATCTGATTGGTTGTTTTGTTTTAAGTGTAACTTCCTCATTAGCTGGAAAAAAGATGCAATATAGAGCAAAAAGTGGTGCAATTCTTGAATAAATCACACCAATTTGAGCCAATCAGATTACAGGGACCACCAATGATTTCAAAATGGATGTAATAAAGTGCTCACAACACAAAGACCTTCAACAACTGTGACCTGAATTGAACTTAATCCCCTTTGATTTCACACCACACGACCAGCCGCTTGTCCACCAGCATGGCTGACTTCCGGTTCACAGGCCATTGCATAATTATCTGTGACATGATGTGAAAACAAAGAATATGCTATTTGGTCCTTGTGTGATGACATTTGACTATTTTGCTTTTGCAATGTGCTGATTTGTCGTTGTACCTTGGCCTTCAACTATTACACTTGTCTATTTTTGCATTGCAAGGAGTTTTGCGGTTGTGATTTGGCATTTTCATGGTGTGCAATTCATTATGGTGTTTTGACAAGGTAACATGCAGTTAGGCATGACACTCAGAAATGAGTCTTGGACGAGATAATTTATTTCCAGGCAAAGTTATAACTATTTCAATATATTTCTGTAAAGTATTGACTATATATGTACCTATCTTAATTATTGACAACAACCTTAGTATGGGTTCTAAGGTGAGCACTTTGTACTTAATTCAGTAAATGTACTACTCGCAGTAATCCTACTGTACTGGAAATACCTGCATGCTGTAAAATTACTGTAAGTCAGTAAACTCTTATACTTGTATATGTGTAATGTGTTTATCAATTAAGTTCAGTTAGCCTTTGGCAATGAAGAAGGAATAGTCTCTTTATGTCTGAATGACGACACTACAAACTGGCGACAAGGATAACACTGTCAAAATGCTACAGAGGGAAGTAGCAGCGACAAGACTCTAGAAAACAGCGGTGAAGAACCTGTAGACCATAGCAGCGATGTGACCCTAGAAAACACCAGTGAAGAATCTGTAGAACATAGCAGCAACGAGGCTGTAGAAGAGATGGACTGACTCTCCTTGCCACTGCCTTTCAATATCGAGGCATCCAACCTGTACAGTGAGTGGACCCACTGGCTGAGCTCATTTGAAATCTACACTGTTGTGTTGGATTTACAAAAGAAGTCAGATGCAACTCAGAGAGCGACTATGCTGCACTGTCTTGGCCTCACGGTTCAGCGAATATTCAGCACTCTTCCGGGTGAGAACACTACCCTTGCAGCCACCAAGGACACGTTGAACAGATATTTTGCCCCCAAGCGAAACGTGGTTGCAAAACGATCGTTGAGAAAGAGAGTTTTACAGCTGGCGCACGAAACTCATCAGGGAGTAGATAAAACCAAACAATTTCTTCGATCTAGATTTTGTTGGCCTGGGATGGATGAAGCAGCAGAAACGATGATTAAGAATTGTCACGCTTGTGTCCCAAATAAGTCGTTGAATAAAAACGTACCGCTTCAGCCTATAAAGCTACCCCATGGTCCTTGGATCAAGGGAGCTGTTGACATCGTTGTTCCGATGGATGGAAAATACATTCTAACTTATATTGATGACTATTCCTCGTATCCTGAAGTGCAGGTGTTGAAAGAGATAACTTCTAGTGAGGTTATTGGAGTGAGATTTGGTTTTCCAGAGGAAACTGTTTCAGATAATGGCAAGCAATTTATAAGTGCAAAGTTCGAAGCATTCCTCAAGTCTTGTGGGATAAGGCATGTTTGCGCACTTCCCTGTATTATGTGCGTAGTAATGGCAAGGTGGAACGTTTCCACAGGTATCTCAAGTAAAAATTTTCGCGCGGTAATCGCAGAGGGCAAGTCATGGCAGAGAGAGTTACTGAAGATTCTCATGTCCTATCGGGCAACTCCTCATCCTATTAGCGGAAATTCAACTGCCAAATTACTCTTTAACCACAAAATCCACATGAAGGTTCCACACATCGAACTTAGTCCCGATCCACAGTTAGAGCAAGCACACCGTGCAAAATGTGAGAGTTACCAAGCACGACTTAAAGATTATCATGACACTAGATGTCACACAGACTTACATGACTTTAAAGTAGGTGAAGTTGTATTCTGCGCAAACATGAGGCCTAGCAAACTGGATTCTAAGTTCCAATCAGCCAAGCATGTAATTGTCAAGGCGCAGGGAAGAGACATTTTCGGTGTAGTTAATGTAGATACCAGTGCCACTCTAATTCGGAACACGAAATATCTAAAGCATGTGCCAATTTCGAGTTCAGAAATTGTTGAAGAACTAGAGAACAGAAACAAAGCTTCAGGTTCTAGCGATAAGGGTATGACCAACCCTGATGCTTGTAAAAGCAATGAGCCAGCAGGTTATTGTGATGAGCAAGCCTTTCAGAATAATGAGAGCAATGTTGTTACCACTAGGTCAGGAAGAGTAGTAGGAATAATGAAAATTTTATTTACTACTAATTAAATACATTTATTGATAAAATAATTTCACAATGTTGGCCGGGAAGGATGTAGTGTATTGATTATACGTGTACCTGTCTTAATTATTGACAACAACCTTAGTATGGGTTCTAAGGTGAGCACTTTGTACTTATTTCAGTAAATGTACTACTCGCAGTAATCCTACTGTACTGGAAATACCTGCATGCTGTAAAATTACTATAAGTCAGTAAACTCTTATACTTGTATATGTGTAACGTGTTTGTCAATAAAGTTTAGTTAGCCTTTGGCAATGAAAAAGGAATAGTCTCTCTATGTCT